CTACATTCATCATTAAATAAAAGACTGGGTACATAGGTACTTACATTTGAATGCCTGTTTCTAGTTTGGCATATGTGATTGTCCAAACATTTCTATTTTGTTACACTCCATGCCTGTAACACTAGCATTTGTGGTTTTTTGGAAATCTCCCCCCCAGGGATGGTCAGCAGTTCTTGTCTGTGGTGATCAGCCTTTGCTGCTACAAGCCAGGCATTCTGCTGCTTTAGAACAGAATAGAATGAGCTTTTTGGATAACAACTTTCTGAGCAGGCGAGGCAGACTTTATCTGAGGATAAAGACTATGATATAAACATCCAGATTATCTTGGGATATCACATGCAGTGGTTTGTGTGTAATAGGCAAACAGTTGCACAGTTACTACTTACATTTGTATTAAGGAAATTTATTCATGATTAATGATGCTTATCTTTGTGCTAGACACCTGCCAAATGATTTATAGCCACACATATCATCTGTAATGGCTCTTCTTTTTTGTTGTTGCTATTCAAAGTATTTGGGATTATTCTAATTGCATCATGTGTTTGAAATGGAGAGAGCTACCCAGGTGTCCTTGTCAGCATTCCCATCTCATACCAAAAGTAGGTCAGATTTACCCATGATGGGAAAGGTCACAACTCCCAGTGAAGTCAGGGGGAATTGAGCTGATGTATGACAAGCTGAAATCATGTCTCAGGTTTGGATCAGTTTAAATTGATCTTTTTCTAAATTCAGTATTAAATACGTTGTAAATCCATGTTGGAGCAGAGCCAGGCTGAGCTTCCCTAAACCACAGAAATGGAGCAGAAGGACTGGAGAAACCCCTGTCCCTTGGAGACCTGGAGAAAGAGCAACTGGTCCCTTCTTTACAGTGCATTATGTGAGAGTGTACAGTCAAATTTGGACCATCAGTCTTTTATTTTCTTAATGTTGGATGATTTTGAGGACTCTGATGTGTCTTGGGCTAGCACAGTGCCTGCCAAACCTGCCTTTGACTGCTCAGCAGTGGCTGGAAAATGGGAAAAGTTTCCCAGAGGCTTTTCCCCTCTCTAGCTAAGCAGGGATTAGACTGGAATTTGGCTGTTGGATATTCCATTGAGGTTGAAAATTAAATTAAATTTTGATCACTTCAGCAATAAGATACTTGTCAGCTGTGTACATGTTTACTTATTTCCAACATTTTGTCACTGTTTCAGCAGATATGCAGGTTTTTAAAATAAGTTTGCTTTTCAAAACTAGTTTGATTTAATTCTGTCATTAAGAGAATTAGCAGTGGATTAGAAAATGTAAATGCATTGTTATGATCATTATAAAACTTGCACGTATCTTTTTCAAGGCTGCCTGGATATTCCCAGCCATTACAGCTAATGATGATATTCTTGTTTTTCTAAACAAGATTCCAGACCAACCAAACAAAGTGACAAGGATGCTTGTGGCTAATCCTCCAAATATCAAAACAGCACCTCATTATTTAATTTAATTTCAAGAGAATCCATTAGTGCAAACTATGAACTGGCCAGGCCTGGATTATAAGGGATATTGACTAAATCCAGATAATTTTGGAAGAGGGAGATATTTTTTCACTCTAAAGCACATATCTTGAACATATTTAGGAAATAATATGTTAATGTGAAGGTGGTGAGGCCCTGGCACAGGGTGTCCAGAGAAGTTTTGTGGATGCCCCATCCCTGGAAGGGTCCAAGGCCAGGTTGGATGGGGCTTGGAGCAACCTGGGATAGTGGAAGGTGTCCCTGCCCATGGCAGGAGTTTGGAATGAGATGAGCTTTAAAGTCCCTTCCAACCCAAACCATTTTATGATTTTATGATATTTAAGCAATTCCATGAATTTAATGACTAGTCTCGATGAAATCAATTTTTTAAATATAAATTTCATTTTTTTTTCTCCTTTTTCATCTGTGTTTGCTAGTTTACAACTAGCCATGCTGACACATTTGGGAGCTGAGATATCATGTAACTAAATTTGATGTGAAGTGTTGGTGGCCTTCATAATGTAATTTATTCATGTTTCTGTAGATAGCATATGTTGCCTGTGCAATAATTTTTTATCATATCAGGACAGAACAGCTACCGTTCCAAACTGTGTTACACAAACCTCGACACACAGACAAATTTTCATTGTGCATTGCTGGGGTGCAAATCAGTGGAATCTATTGAGCTCTGCTGGGGTGGAGGAGATTAGAGCCCATGGCATGGTGTCGAATTTATTTCTGTTTTTTCTGACTTAATGTAATCTCTGTTCTTGCTCAGTGGGGAGCAGCAGGCAGTTATCTTTGTAGTCCTGCCCAAAGAATGAAACCCCTTGTTTTGGGCAGGAGGCTGCTGCTCCCAGGGACGTGCTGCTGTTTGCTGACCCTTTGAGTGCTGAGGTGAGGGCAGTGCATTCAGAAAGCAGCTCCTGAGCCCTACTCGTGCTTCATTAAAAACCTCAGCATCTTTATCAGCTGTTATCCGAGGTGTCCTCGGATTTGCCCATTTCACACCCCTGCCTGTTTAGGTTTTGGTGGTTTTAGGGCATTTTCTGGCCCTGGAGGGCTGCCTTGCAAGTGCAGTGAGCGCTGTCTGCACAGGGCTGGGCGTGTGGCTCCCCTCCAGTGCTGAAATCTGAATAATTCCTTCCCTGGTTTTGTGTTTTAGTATGTGAGACCTACAGAGGTGGTGTTGGAGCCAGTGCCACTAACTGCTTGTCCTTCCCTTGGCAGAAAGCTGGTGACTCTGTTGTCCTACCGCCATAGACGGTGACGGCGATGCTGAAGGCACTGGCCGAGTTGCTCCTCCTCAGCTCTTCTGTGTGAGGTGAGCAGCCATCCTGATGGGCAGAAAATGCTGAATTGCAGGGTTTCTGAGGGCCCTTCTTCCCCACACCCCAGGACTTCACTGCTGCATTGGGTTTCTGAATGATGCTCAAGATTTCTGGGCTTGTGTGCTTCCTATGAGGCCACTTGTGGTCTGTGTTACATTGCCTGGGTGCTGGGACTTGGTGGACTGCATTCTGAATTAAATGTGAATTCTGAATAAAATTAACCCAAAAGGCATAAGCAAAGCATAAATGTGGTCCCTTGCCCACGTTATTTGGTCAGGTTGGTGGGTTTTTAGCTTGTACACGAGATGCTGTTCATCTGAAATGCAGGAATGAGCTAAAGCAGATAACAGATATTACATTGTATCTCCCACTGTAGTTAGTCAATATCTGATTAAATGTAATTGCATGAATTTATCATGATAGACACTGTTTCAAAGTAATTTGAATACAGCCTGGAATTAAAAGCTCTACTGTATATTCAGTGTGTACAATTTCCAGATTTATCTTCAGTTTCTTATCAAGAACGATGCTGTGTATTATGTGCTATGACAATGTTGCTTTTCATAAGGTTAGCAATGTAATAGAATTTTCTGGACTGAACCTCTAATAACTGATAATTTTAATGAAAATCACCAAGATTATGCCCATGAAGACAAATCTTGAAGACAGGTATTATCTCTATCCTTATGCAAGTAGAGATGTGACATTTTTACCTATAAAAGTAGGATTAATCACTAATAACAAGAACTGTGTGGAGAATTTAAGTATGGTATAAATACACGGTATAAATACAAAAGCTGTTGCATCAGAAAAATTAATATGTAAATTTACATCAGAAACTTGTTTGATGTGGATGTACCATGAATGTTTTTTGCGATTTCTAAATTGTTCCCACCTGAATGTGGATGGATCCAAAATAACTTCAAACTCAAAGTCTGCCTAAGTGTCTAGTTGGTCATCTTGTGGAATGAGAGACACAAAGATTGGAATTACTGGACTGAATAGGAATTTTTAAGATTTTATTTTATTGTGTGAGTTTCTTAATCTCTGCTGTTTGGAGCTTTTCAGTGGTATATAAACGATGTGGGTGTTTGCTGAAGCTGGCATTTAGGAGTTGGTCTCCTGCTTTGTATGGGAGACCCCGAGGAGCATTCCTCCTTGCTTCCAGCAGCACTCAGTGATTATCTTAATGAATTGTGTGGTGTAAAACTGCTGCAGCAGCAGGGCTGGATCCACTCCAGTCTTGTTCACAATGTGCCTCTGGTATTTGTCTGAAGTGTTGGGAAGCTTAATTAAAATCCCTTAGTCAGAGAGACCTCTCTGGAGTAATTGGTTGCTGACCTGGAGCTCAGTGATCCAAAGGGACTTGAATGAGTGTCCCAAATTCCACAGAAATGCCTGTGTAGTGTCTGGTTTTCCCTTTCAAGCTGGTCCATCATGTGCTAATAAGCAACCCCCCCTTCTTTTCCTGCTGCATTTCTGTAGTTGCTCTTGTGTATCCCATGTTTACACAGGGTTAGGAGCTAAAACACTTCCAGGCCTGGATCTTAAATGTAGGGCATGGATTTGGAGCTGAATTTTGTTCATGGAATCCATTCTCACTTTGGTTTAGTCTGCCTGTATCAAGACACCATTCCTGCTAAAGCTAATAGAGAAAAGAAGGCACACACCACACGCTGCCCCTGGGTTCATTGCCATTTATTGGCACTGGCAGAATTCTTGCTAAGAGCCTGCTAGAAGCATTTACAGTGGCTTTGTAGGGTGGGACTGTAGGTCCTCTGGGAGCTGGCCCTTCCCTTCTCTCTTCCCTTCTTCCTCTTCTTTTCTCCCTCTCCAAGGGAAGCACAGTAACAGACGTACCCTCATCAAATCCACAGTGGCCACCAGGTTACCCTTATCGTGAGCCTGTTGCCTTGGTGGGCTAAATATTTTAACAAGCCTTTTCTTTCTGTTTTTTCTTTTGTTGCTAATTCTAGGACCAAAGAATACAAGAGACTGAATTATCTGAATTATGCTTCTACAACAGAACTGGGTTTCTCCTCATTGGGCATGGCAGAGCCTGGGGAAGCCCTTCCTTTTGTTTGTTTTCTTAATGTTGCAAACAGCTGATCTGCAAGCCAGGAGAGGTCACCAGTTTGTCTGGAAAACAGGTAGGAAAAAGATATGTTAGCTTCTCTACTAGATATTTGCTGTATTAAATGATGACATGATTGTCCTTTCTGTTTTGCTTCAATAATAAGTTTTAAAAGTCTGATTATGTCTTCTGTTCTAATTTTTTTAATTCTGAAAAATAGAAAGTTAATTTGTGTTTGACATTAGTAATCTACATGTCTGTTGCAATTATCCACCCAGAGCATAATTCTAGACTCCTTAATGCTTTCATCTTAGACTATTTTTACTAGATTATTATCCTAATATTGCTTTCTTTGAAATATTTAATAATTCTCTTTTAATTTTTGTATGCAAGAGGCACACCAGCATCTCTCAGGATGAACTGAGTCAGAAGCCCATGCTGTTGGTCGATCTATTTGTAATTCCATTGGTGTATGAATTATTTCTGTCCCTCAGGTTGGATAGGTGCAATGCTTGAGTGTGTACAAGGTTGGAAAGCTGTGAAGACGCTTTGGTGCTGGAGTGGGTGGGTGGGAGGTGGGGTGGTTCAGCTGCACGGGACCAAGCTTGGAGCATCAGATGTTTGTTTTGCAGCCAACACACCGCAGCAGAGAATGTTCAATGAAATGGAAAGATTGGTTAATTTGGGAAATGTTTACTTAAAGTGCTTAATCAAAAATACCCAACTGAACCAGGGGTTTCATTGCTCAGGATCCCTTTGAGGTTTGGCCTTTTGTGACTGAGCAACACAGCAATTAAATGTGATGGAAAAATAATTTCTTTGTTTTTTTTTTGTGTTTTGTTTTGTTTTGGAGAGGTTCTTTGGTATTTTGGTTATTTATTTTTTAATTACATTTCTGTAGAAGGTAATAGACTGAATTAGTGAAATAATGAAGTAATTTTTCTGGGAGAACTCCTGTTTTTTTCTAATAGGATCAACACAAACTTGCCTGGCTGCTGGTGTGGGAATGTGGGGAAAGGCTGGTGAAGTACAGCATGATACTGTATTATAAAGACTTTTTCTTTACACTGTCTAGCATGTGAAATGAGGAGGAAATAAACAATGACTCTCTTTTCTCCAATTCACTGTTATTTACAGGATTTTTGAACAAGCTTTGAAAGGTAGAGTTGTTTTCTTAAAGACAAATTAGAGCCTTCAATGCTGTCTGTCTTCCCTTCAGTCATTAGGGCTGTGCATTGTAAATCATAAAACTTTAATTTGACTCGATGATTCCAGCTGAAAATAAGGAGCTTTCAATGCTTCAAAGGCATCTGGGGCAGATGTAATTAGAGCTAAGAAAATTTGGTGCCCAGGATTGTGTGGGCACCATGCTCTGAAAGCCCCACAATAGGATTGTTGTTAAGGCTCCTCTTCCAGATGCACAAGAAAATTATCAGTTCTTGTGACTCCCACAGTGCATTAAAAATATCTGATCTCTCGAGAGTCACTTTAAAAACTTTAAATCCTAAGAGTATTTTGATGTACTTTCTCTGCTTATGGAGTGGCATGAGGTAGAAAACAGCTTTGACTGATATGTTTTCCAAATGAAAATACCTTGTGAGTTCCAGCTAAATGTATTGTCCCAACTGGAGAAAAAAGATTTTTCTCCAATATTTGTAAACATTACCCCCCCTCCCTTTTTTTCCCCACTGAAGTATTTTGTTGAAAGTTAGATAAAAGTTACATCTAAGCCCCAAATGTTTAGTTCCAGGTTGAAATGAATAGCATGTTCACCCAAAACATTTTGTTTTGCTGAGAAACTATGTATAATTTGTGAAGCACCTACCTTATAGTAGTAGTGAAGCATCAGCATTTCTAAATCCTGAATCTTGTGTTTTTGCAGTTTTCCTGAGAACTAACAAAATGGGCAGAAAATGGCAGTCTGCTGTCAGGGTGGCATATGGGGCTTGATTTTGTGAGCATTTTCATACCTTACCTGAAAAGGTTTTTCACTATGATTATCACAAAGGTGTGTCTTCCAGAAGATTAAAAGGAAGTGTTTTGGGAAGAGAGGGTGGTGACTTAAATGGATGGATCTGGAGAGGTAGAAGGGTTAACATAACCCCTTGTGGTAAGATATTAATAATAAAATATCTCTGGGATGTGGATCATGGAGATCTTGACCTATTGAGACCTGTGGTTTGTATAATAATTGTATAAAAAAATCATCCTGTAGTTTGAGGACTTTTGTGCCCAATACAAAATAATAAAAAGTTAATAAAAGCACAGCACAGTGAACCTAAAATTAAGTAAAATTTAAAATAAAAGCTGAGCAGATCCATTCCAATAGAAGGAAAAGCTGCAGCTGCTGTCCTTTTTCTTAATAAAACAGTCTGATGAGAAATGAACAGTCCATAATGGGAAAGGGGATGATCTGTTCTGTTTTTAAATCTTGAATTGTCTCTTGTAAGCATGGCAAGTTACTTACCTGCTGGGGAGAAATTCAACTTCTTATTGAAATGTCATGCTTTATAATTAAATAAGATTATGCTACTGAAAGCTCTGACTTTATGAAAATGAATTTTTATGTACTGAAATAAATTTTCCTAGCGCACACAAATCCAGGGAGGCATCCTTAATATGGATGGGGCTGGGGAAAAGGAAAAAAAAATATAATTGCTGCAGTTCATAATACAGACCTTTTTTCAGGTGAATCCTTGACACTGTCTAATGAAGACTTGTACATTTTCATTCTGGGCTTGGTGGTCTTGGTCTAGGGTAAAACAACAGTATTGAAATCACTGCATCTAAAAAAAACCCCAGGCTCTGAAATTCTAAAACATGAAAATTTGGCAGTGTGAGTCAATTTTATACATATTCTTCCCTCAGCTGTTCAGAGGGCTATCACTTGCATGTTGCTTATTTGTGACCTGTCTTAAAACCATTTATTTTGAGCTTTTGGCTCATAGAAGTTACAAATTAATATCTGTACCCTGTGTCTTGGTTTTCAGACATTTCCTGTCAGATGCTCATTTAGTGGCCACTAAACATGAAAACAATAATCATATCAGCTAAATTACTCAGCAACATCAAATAGCTGAATAATTTTGTTGCACTTGCAAAATTTAATTGGACCTAAATTCTTGTAAATTGATAGTATTTAATGCAGTTGCCAATTAGCAATTTGAATATTTCACCATGTTAATTTTCTCCAACACTTGGAGTAGTCCTAAGAGTTCCTGGAACTTCTGCAATGCCAGTATGCCTATGTTTTAGTGATGGCCATTCAGGCTTTTAAAACTGTTTATAGAATAGTAACACATACATGAGTCCACATCATAATTCTAGGTGTTTTTTCTTTATTTTTTTTGGTGACTGTCTAAAATCTCTAAAATTTAGCTCCAAAATCAGAATTAAGTGTAAGAAACAAGCTAATATTTTGAGTACTTTACAGGAAGGGGCTGATAATTAGAATTACAAGGTGATGGAGTGTCTCTTTCCAGAAACTCTTTTTGCAGCTCATGGACAGGTTAGGCTCCCCTTCTCTGCTGGTGTCTTCAGCTCCTCCATAAACTACAGCCCAGGCATATGCTGTTTCCCCAAAATACAAACAGAATGCAAGATATAAGGGACATAGCCCATAAAAGGCTCTCAGAGCTAAAGTAATGACATGGGTTTATTTTTTAATGAAGGAAATACTGTAAAAAATGTTTTTTCTAGATGGAAATGGCCTGATTTTTAGAAAAATGGTTCTTTAATAATGGTAGAAATGCTATCTATCATGGAAATAATCCTCTGTGTGCTATGGAAGGGAAGAAGGGGATTGTTAGAAACCCAGATGTTGTGTCCCAGTGAGTTTTCCTGCTCTAGAAAAAAGGAATCACGATGGCTATTTAGCCCAGCAGGAACATGCTCCCTGATCTGAGTGGAAGAGCACTGAAAGTGAGGTATCAGACTGGGAAATGGGTTTGTAATGATTCTGATCACAGCAGAGAGATTTTTACCTGAGGAAGAAACCATTAAATGTCTGGAGTTCCTGGGCTTTTGGGAGCCAGGTGTGTGAGCTGTAAGTACTCCTGCCTGAGGTGAACATATGAAAACTTTAATTTTGGAGTTACTCCCTGTATTTGAAAGTCGTCCTTAAAATAGGGTTAGCAGATGGGTTTTGATCTTTAGTCGTTCTTCAGAAACAATCCATAATGGAAAAGGGACAAAATGAACTTTTCAGAGAACAACTTCTAATGTGGAGGAACCTTTGAACCCACCCGTGAGTGTGGGTGAGTTTGGCCCTGGCTATGATGAAAAAGGCCTTTTGTTCTCTGTTCTCTGATAATACTGCCATAAAATGCCCTTTCTCAAGATTGTAATTTCATGAAGGTCAAGTGCTGGTTTGGAAGTGCCTTTGACCTTATGTCTTAAAAGACGAGCTTTTACCCACGTACACCAAATGTTAAAAGGAGTCCAGGTCTTGAAAGGACAGTAGAGCTCAAACCTGCTGAAAGGAGACTCAAAAATAGCTCTGCAACAAGTGAGGTATTCCAAAAGCTTGATCAAATGAGGAGTGATTATCTGTCCTAAATGAAGTGGTTTCTTTGTTAGGTGGGACAACAGCTCATGAATGAAGCACAATTGGCTTTTTAGTGATCTTTGTGTGGTGTCTGGAAGGTTTGTGGTGTATCTGACTGATGCTTCCAAACTTCCCATTGTGTGGTAAACGTTCTAATTGTGGCTTGTTCTTACACTGCCTTGGTGGATGGAGGTTTAAATGCTGAAACTTTGAAGTGGAAATTTAGCCTTGATTTAATCAAACTTTGTATGATTCAAAGGTTCTTCACTATGCTAAGAGTGAACACAAGTGGTGCTCCTGGGTTACAGATTGTAGTCATGTAGTATTGACAGCAGAAGCAGTAAGTAGTTTTAAAAAAACCTATTATGTTCGGTTCTCAAAATAACCCGGGCACTGCCATAAACCTGATAATGAAAAGTTGTTCTGAAATGAGAAATCTTGTTTTTATCTTTATTCATGGTCAGTTTATGCTTGTTCCTGAGCCAGACTACTCTTTAATTTAAGTAATTCTTCTTTTGATCATTGCTGCT